ACCTTGACCTTGAAATCACCACTTGGAGCTAGGACTCTGGCAGAGCTTGGAGCTTGGAGCAAAGACATCATCACCTGCACCGACACTGAGCCGGACACTGGGACGTCACTGGATTCATGGTGGTGGTTAATTAACCTTGCTGCATCTCTATCGTTTGCTTGTTTAGGCATTCTGACTTCTCTGTTCTTCTTCTCTCTGTCCTATCGCTATTATAAGTTATTATAGGAAATAAAGTTTACAAGGTTGTATGGCATCTGACTTCACTCATGTCTTAATTTCACTCCTGGGATCATTTAAGAACCCTTTCCGAGATTGGATCAGGACAGCGAGGTAGAACAGGAGACCAAGGAAATACGTGCTTCCAGGTAGAAACTGGTTTACGTATAAGAGGTCTCAATGCTGAATCAGACTGGTAAAAAATTACTCTTAAAAATATTTTGTTGGGAAAGTTCAAAAAAAGGGGAAGGAGACAGCCATATTCATAACTAAACTGCATGGACATATTCACTGAGCATGCCATGAAAGCAGAAACACCTGAAAACAACCTCATCAGACTGATCATATTTCAAATTCCTTCATGAAAACTTTATGTGACCAAGAAAGGAGTAAAAACATTCAGGATTCCCACCCCTAAATGCTCCAGAATTACTCTTTTGAATGCTGATGTCTGAAATAAAATATACCTTTTTCTAACTTTGCTCTCAGATTGCTTCACCTTTGTTTTCAAATGCTTTACTGCAACTTCTTTCTGCTGCAGAGGACCCAAATATTGCTTGTGATTTTCTGGCTTAATGCTGTGATAGACACCACAAGAAATGTATCTCCCTGATCACCTGAAAAGGAAAAAAATCAAACTGTCACAACATCACTCCTACAGTTCTACAGTCCTGGCAAAAAGAAAACCATCCCATAGACTGATACAAAGCTTGACTCACTGGGGGCTCCCTAGTATCTGCACAAGGGACTCCTCTGGCAAATCAAAGTGCTTGAGGAAATGGCTGATTGGTGGCTCTAGTGCAAAGCCCACTATTTATTGTATGTGGTTTCAGCGCCATGACATCGCATGAGACATTTCATTGTAAAACACCCAGCCCTCCCCTCACCTGACATGGGGGGTGTGCCTCAGAGCAGGCAGCAGGTGCTGCCAAGGGCACCAGCTCCAGGCCCGTCCAGGGGAGGCAGTGAACGGGCCGAGTTCAGCTCCACACGTGTGTTATGGAGCTGAGCACCCTGAAACCCAGATTAATTCTTTCCAGCTTTAGGCATGAGCCTGACACACTGGGCTGCTGAGTGCCTGAGAAACATGGAAACAGCAATCACATGGGGACAACTTCTCTGTGTCACAGGCTCTGGCAGGGATCTGCTTGCTTTCCTGTACAGGAAACTGCGCAGGGAGGTGCCGAAGCCTGAGCAGGGTGACTTTTCACCCCAATGTATAATATTTTCTATACTACTCCACCAAATTCTCTCCAAATCAAAAGGACCCTTATATGAAAGAACCAGTAAATCCACATGAGAACTTATGGCATGAAACCATATGAAGGACCCTGCCTTGGAGTGAAAACCAACCACAAAGGGCTTTGACTACAAGTAACCTTGAATTTTATGGTGCTGAAACAATAAAGATCCTGCTTGTCATCACTCTTGGACCTTGGAGCACCATCACCTGCACTGAGACTGAACCAATGGTACATCACCGGATTCATGGTGGTGGTAATTAGCTGCATCTCTACCGTTTCTTGCTTAGGGATCCTGACTTTTCCTTTCTTTTCCTCTCTGTCATATCGCTGTTGTCAGTTGTTATAGAAAATGAAGTTCACAAGGTTGTACGGCATCTGACCTTGTTTGTGTCTTAATCTCACTCTTAGGATTGTTTAAGAACCCTCCCCGATATTGGATCAGGACACACTGGCACTTGTGCAGATAGAAAATGTAATCATTCCCCTATTCCTTGAATGTAGAAATGAGCCACTCTTCTATGGCTTGTACCTGTTCCATTGCAAGCACAAGCTGTCTAGAGAAGACATAGCTCAAGCACGGCAGATGAGAAGAAGCCATCAATAATCCATGTTAGGAAGATCAAAAGCAGAGGCAAAGTTTGCACAGAAAATGCCCTGGTTATGGCAGAAACACAGTTCTCACTGTCAGAGATTTCTGGAGAGTTGTTCATTACAGGAAACTAATGCCCAAAAAGGGTTTCTCTGCGTTCCTTTCCCTAGTCATCACATACAGCTTAAGTAAAATTTAAATGGAAGTACAATGGAAAATTCTGTTTGCCTGGAATTCCTCCATTTGATAAGCTGAGAGACACACTGGAAGTAAGTCTTGAGATGGTAATAGCTGGAATAGTAAAATCTCCTGAAAAACCTGTGAGAAATCGACTCTGATGAGTCGGGGCTTCAGGGGAAGCTGTGATGGACAATGTGAAATTTTCAAAGCTGTTTATAAGGGTTTAGCACAAAGTATAGAAGAATGCTTCTTTAAAAAATGGTGGATACAAAAAGGATTATGGGATTTGCCCAGTTATGCAGTTAAAGCCTGGCTTTAACATCCTGCTTTCTGCATTTCCAGACTCTGGCCCGTGGATCACACCACCCACCTCCAGCTCGCAGAGAGATCCTGGTGCTCCTTTGTGTGGTAACACTGGCTACGAAACCAGTGCTGACACCCGTGATATCTGAAACCTTGGCACAGTACCACATTCAATAAACAGATTAAAATCTTTATTTTACCAGGCAGTAACATTTTGGTTTACCATTTCCCCCACACCTAGAATTAGCCCCCTCCAGAATTTGCGCTGCTCTCCTGCATTTTCTGCCTTGGTCACAATTTGCTCACATCCCAGACCAGGCAGAAGCACCCAGCAGAGACACAGTCCTGGTGCTGTGAGCTAACGGCATGCCAGCCAGGCCAGGAATGTTTGGATAACAGATTTCCCCCAACGGCCCGTGCCTCCATGTCCTTCCTCCCCACTGCTGCCCTCTGACCCATGCTCGCTGCTGCCGTGTCTCACACATGGCACTTGTTTCACCTCAGCCACCTACGGCTGATTCGGCTTTCCCGTGTGGGCCAAAATGCAGAGCGCAGAGTGATGAGGTGAAGGAGAGCACAAGTGTGTGAGTCTGAGTCGTGTGCCACAGCAGCTCTGAACTGAGGTGCCAGCAGATGTCACAGCCTCCCCTAACATTTTTGGTCATTCCCAGTATTTCCCTCCAACTTCCCTTTCCTTTAGCTTCCAATTTCTTTGCTCTTAGAAAAACACTTTGTGCAGCATAGCCAGGGCTCCTGACTAATTTTTCCTTTATTTGATCTATGTCATTATACAGGAGATCAAAACTGACTTCTGAGCAATCCTTACCTTTGTGAAGACCCATGGTAAGAACATCGCTGTCTGAACAGGGAAAAGTGCTCCAAAATGACACATCCTTTGCAACGCTGTCAAACAGTTGGGTTCAGCCAGAGCATTTGCGGGCACCAAAGGACACAGCAGTATAGAAAATTTCCTTCTAGGTAATAAGGAAATAATACAATAGTCTGCTAAAAGAACAGATATAGAGGCTAATGAGCAGAAGAGAGCAGCCATTATCAGTAAGACACAAGGAGAAGGTTGTGTGCAGAGAAGAAAAAGATTATTGTGTTTGTTGACAGCAAAAGAACATCTAACCAGGCAGAGGTAGCAAAGAACTAGAAGATTAATTAAGAATTCAGGAAAATATTACATTGACCTCTGGGCTTTTATCTTTAAATGTAATTCCCTTTCATGTTGGTTTTGTTTGTTTGTTTGTTTGTTGTTGTTATTTTTTCACAAGGCAGAGAATTCCTGGTCCTGGACAAAGACTCCAGGTTTAACAGACTGAAATACCTGATCTTCCTGCCTGGATGACAGCAAGATCCAGTTTAAGACTGGGGGGAAGGCAGGGGGCTCTTCATTGATTCCTCTCCATGAAAAAAGGATATAATATTTTTCAAAAGATGGCAGATAGCACAGTCTTTTCAAAACAAACCAGTGTGACTATTATTAATGGAGTCAGCAAACCTGTTTACATCTTTTTTTTTTACTCAAGGGGATTCATTTGCAATGTCCACATCAATGACTGTTCCCTTAGCACATAACAGATCTTTCTGTGAAATCTTAATTAAGCAGTCAGATTCTCTTTTCTATTTTTCACAGAAAGACAGTGTTCCACATAACATACAAAAAATTCCACTATTGGAAGAAGGTGCTTTTCTTTATCATCTAGCTGAGATTTATTTCCTTGCAGCCTCCTAGCCCAAGGAAGATGATCAACTCCAGGCCATGCAATCCAGTTTAAAAACATCTCATTTTATTAAACCTATGCATGAGAAATTATTCTCATGTTCATTAGTATTCCAGAAAGAACTGAAAAAAAATAATGTTTTTAAGGGCTTCCTAGAAAGAGCTCTTTTAGCAGTTCAGAAGCTTCCCTTTCCAAAAGTATGTACCAGGTTATCTCATGTCCTGAAGCAGTGGAGCACCATTTCCACCTAAGCTGCTACCTCTTCCCACCACAGTGCCCATTTGTAGCTCCTTAAGAGTATTTGTTGACTTACAAGGCACGACCAGAGAGAACTAAAAAAACCCCATCTTGGGTTTCAATGGAAAATTTCTATCAATATATTCTTTCTAGTCTGGAGCCTTCCTGAACAACCCAACAGTAAGAAGAGAATGAAGTTTCTGCTAGACTGCTGCAAATCTCATTGTCTTTTCATCAGAATTAAGTTTCTTATCACATTTTCCAACTTTTGTCTTTCCTTTCCTGTAACATCTAGAGCCATCTGAAAACCACAGATGACTCTTTTGAGTCAGGATCCAGCTTCATAACCCCTGTTACAGAGTTGCTTTATTTTTTTAAAAAATTTAGGTTAGATTAACTAAAGAGTATGTTTAGTACTTCTAATCCTTCCTCCTATGGAAGGTCAGGATGCTATAGTTGATGCATAACTGAAAATAATCCTGTTCTACTTCCTTGTTTACTGGCATGGAAATCCTGCTCCAAGATGAACATGGTATGTATCTGGCCACTCAGAGACCATGTTTTTCTGTGTAGTTGTGTGCAATATTAACCACATTTCTTTTCTTTCTTTCTTTTTTTTTTTTTTTTTTTTTTTTTTTTTCCC